CGTAAATAAATCGGGCCCCTCGCGAATTCCCGAGTCACGAAGATACGGGGCCTCATTAAGCCATTGTACCCGCGGATTACATCGTCCCTCCGGAAAGTCCATATACTTCTTCCATTCAGCCCCTTTTCTTTGAGTGTTGGTCGGTGCTCTCTGTCTACATGATATATACCGTTGTGTGTTTGTCACAGTGGACGTATATATTATATATGCACGGGCTCTCTCTATTTCTAATCCGGTTGACCGCGGAACGCCGGGAGGACTATATAATATATACATATACACGGCTCCGTGTGCATGTGTAGTGAATTGTCTCTGCCGATCTCTCGATAGCAGGGCGCGCTGTGGGGGTACGATATCTGCTGGGGAACAAACGAGCCAACCACTCGGTGCATTGTAATATTTATACATCGGGGGTCCTCTCGCTGTCACTGGTACACCTATACGTGTGTTGTGTGTGACAATAATGTATGTGTATTATAATATTAGATCTGTGCAGTGCATGGTGACTTTACTACATTAAATGTGTCGCCCTTGCGGTATTGTGTGTATACCTATGCTTGTATTGTAACGTTTTACTTACTCTCTTGTGCAAGGCTGTGCCGAGTGGCGCCGGTTTTCCAGACGAGACGACGGCTCGTTAAGTATATACATTACATATACGTCGTGTACCCGAAGTTGCATGCAGATGGTATTGCTGACGGAAACAAGTACATTAGCCTTGAGCTTATTCATTTTCTTTTTTTTTTCCATTCAATCGTGTAAATGCTTATACAATTAGAGCTGTGGCTTTTTACAAAACACCATACAATTGTTCTCGATTTTTGGTTGCCGAAAAGAAATTGTAGGTGTGGTCTGGAAGTGCCGAGGAGTATAGGTTCAAAGTATAGGATTCGAGATCAGTGAGAGGAAAAGAGACGTGGATGGATTCTAGATTATAAGAGCAGGCAAGCAGGTATTTTGAAATTTACGTAAAGATGAACGAACGCGAATCCACACTATTGTTTCTAATTAAGTAATTGAAGATATTGTACAAAGTTATGGGGTAAATTGATCCGTATTAAAAATTTTATACGTACAGCTGGCACTTTGTGCAGTTTTCGTCAAGCGTTTGACCAAAATATGACGATCAAAAGAACTCTTCTATTGCCCACCCAACGCAATGAATTGTCATTTCAACCAAGTGAAAAAAACCAACCTCGCCATCCCCCAAATAACCATACGAGCCATTCGCCAAGTCTCTCTTTTTCTCGATCAGGAAGAAAAAAAAAGGGGGGGAAAAAAAAAGGCTCAAAACTCGTTTCACGATTCACCGCGCGCTCGTCGCAAACGTCGTCGAGGTGGAATAATAGAAACACGTACATTTTCGTCGGAGCCAAGGAGCATCAGAGGAGCTCGTAAAGCGAGCGCGCACGTGTACACACACACACACACACACACACCTACAAATGGTTCCAACAAAAGGAGGGGAAAAGAAAAACCAGCCGAGTAACGACAGCGGTAGCAGCCGCCGCGGAGAATGTATAGTTGGAATCCGCAAATAACCGCGAGAAACAGAGCGGGGGAGAGGGTGGCAGTAGTAGGGAATCAAAGCACAGAGCGGTGTCCTGCGGTGCAGCCGGTATACATATACCTACAACAACAGATGTATACACGGGTACATGTATATATACACATGTAGAGCAAATCAAGTATACATGTATATATATATATGTATATATATACCATCGGGGTACAAGTAGTCTTAACAGCGGGAACGAAAAGTGAAATAGAGCCGAGGAGAGGCGGCATCGGAGAGTTGTCGGTCGCGCGCGGCCGAAGATGACCTTGCAAGATGATGACGTTGGGGGTGGAGGAGGTGGTGGTAGGGGGGGAGGGTATGTATGTATGGATATGTACACGTTGAATGGGCACCGGGAAGGGAGGCGGGAGCGATGTGAGAACGAAAGGCCCCCATTGTCTTCAAGGGCGCGCTTGTGCTCTCTCGTACACCGATGCCATTATAACCGATGTTTATACACAGTGTGCGCTCTGTAGAGAGAAAAATCGCCAGCGGTCGTCGCGGCGGGCGCGATGATGCATCTTAATTCGCGTGGTTCTTTGGCCCGCGCGGTGGAGGCCCCCCCACCCCCTGCCCCCTCGATCGGATGCGGATAGTTTTGCAGCTCGTGTGCACACTTGTACCAGTTTGTCCGTATTTGCGAGTCCGGTCGCGTGCTTTGGCGCCGCAAAAATCTGCTGTCGATGCGCGGTACGTGCCGAACGACAAAGTGGACGATTCTCGCGCTCGGCATTTTAAACGCGACGTTTTCGTGACTCGAGCCCCGTGTATGCATGTACCATCAATTGCGCGTAAGTATCTCTCTCTCTCTGCTACTCCGCGGCTAATTGTCGAGTCGGTGCGGGCTCTTCGCTTTGTCTCCCCGCGGTCGGTCCCATTCTCGTCTCGCTCTTCTTATTTTTCCTACGATTGTATTTATCGCAGCGTTACCATCCACGGCGCATCTTGTCCATGTGTACTGTATACGCTGACCTTTAAGAACATACGATATGTTGGCAAGCAACAATTTCTCCTGATCCAAAGCTACAGGGCAACCCCACGGTGGGGTGGGTTTATCGTACAGGTTTCTTTCACTTGTAGTTTTTCGCAATTAATTTGTATATTTCAAAAGGTGAAAATAAAAGAACCATTGTAATGGACAATCCCATTATTATAACCCCAGGCTTATTAACATTGAAATTCAATGAAAAGTTATTTATCAACTAGGACCTTATGGACATGCCATATAAAATATCATTTATCACACCACGGAGCTCATTCGAAAAACCTTATTACCTGTGACCAACTCTGTACGTTCATCTTTCTCGCTCCGATGGGAGGGAAGAGGATAATATGTTAAATACCTGCATCCAAGCACTATACATATATCCAAATTCCAAATGAATGAATGAACAAAAGCGTTAACCAAAGGGGGAGGGGGACTAACGAAAGTTATGTCCCATTGCGCCAACCGGCTGGTATATAGGTGGACATTGTTGTGTGTGCACACGACGCTGCCAGATCTTCACGTGAATGAGTGTTACGTAACAACACGACACGGGGACTAAAAAAAAAAAAAAAAACGGGGTTTCCCAATTTTCGTTGGGAAAGCCTTTGATGACTTTGTCGTTGATTGGCCTTAATTGCCCGACAAACGAGAGGAGAACGTTGCTACTGCCCCTCGTCTGGCTTTTCCTTTTTCCTCGTCGCGTCCACTGCTCGCGAGCTCGTAATTATCGGCAAATCATCATCGATTTTCACGGATCTTACATCTACTCGATCAAATCACGATTGTTCGCGTTGATAGTACAGTCTCTTCGTCCAATATGTCAACCAGATGGGACGAGTTATTCAACAGATGCATTCACATAGTATTAAAAAAATGCCAAGACCCAAACAAACACACGTACACCCTCCGTATAATCGCAATGGATGAACATGCAAACGAAGTAATCGAACGACAAAGACCCATTTTCTTTTTAATCCTCTTCCCCTCGAGTTTGTATGTACATATACATCGAGCGTACAAATGAAGTTTCGTAATTACGTCCTCTATCTCGCGCGTGTATACCCCAATACACTCGGTACGTAAGTATATATTATAATATACACGACTGTTGCAGGGAAATGCTTATTTATAGATTTCGTAAATTCACAGAGAGAGGCTCCCTTTGTTCTGAAACGAAGTGAAAGTCGTAAAGCAGAACATCGCGCTCGCGCTCCGGCTGTACGTGATGGTACACGTGTGCAAACGAGAGGAGGAGACACGAGCCGCGCGTGTAAGTACAGCTCTCACCTTGACGAAACTCCCGCGAGCAGCCGTCTCTCCACAACAAGCACACGTCGTTTACCTTACACGCCTGTGTAACGCGAGTGTCATCTCGTTGCAGTGCCGATTCGCAAAAGCTCGGCTCAATTGGTCTCAGGGGCGCGGGAGAGGTGCTCGTGTTTTTGCCCGGTTGTGCGTGCGTAAACGAGGAGGGGAAAAAGGGACGAAATAATAGTAGGCACGCGTGTGTCCCGTACATACGCTTCGACTACCTGCGTGTGCGCGCGCCGTGGTTGAGGGCCTATCGTCGTTTTCGATCGAGTGCACGGGTATAGCTCCGTGGCTGTTATCTCCATTGTCATCGACCTCATCATCATCTAGCGGGAGGAGTATACATACAGGCAAAACTCCCTCGACTTTTCGCAATCCTGACGCTGTAACGTGTCCCGTGGACACAGCAAAGTGACGTACGTCACTCGAAGCGTAATGACGTCGACATAGCACGAGAGTTTTCTCGTTGGGGTGTACCCGTATTTTTTTTTTTCTCCTCTCTATATCTTTCGCTGTTGGATGGCAAACTCGCTCCAAGACCCTCGTAAACGATGACTTGTGCCGTTGCATTGTTTTGTACACTTCAAAACTGCTCGCCCAAATGCTCAGTCCATTATATCTAGATTCCCCCCGAACAACAAGAAATTAATCACTCGCGTGCATGACTCAATCTATACAGCTGAAGGTATGAGAGGGTGGAAAAAATAAAAAAAAAAAACAAAGAATTCGCGTATATATACATATTATATTCATAATCACCCATAGCCATTATAATCTAGTCACAATAAGGTTGATGCTAACGCAAACGCGTGTCTTTTGATTGTCGCAGGGCTCCCGGTCGCGGAGACACAGACTCAGTAGCCACAGCCAGCCATCCGCAACGGGGCAAGAAACCCCATAGGAGGAACGAAGGAGGGAAGAAGAAAAAAAGGGGGCAGCCGAGGAGGTAGGCAGCAACAGCCCATAGATATACCTATACACGTAAGCCACCGTATCAGAAGGAAAGGGGCGAGGGGAAAAAAAAAATACCCGAGAGGGAGGGAAGGAGGGAGAGAGAGGAGGACAGGCAGGAAGGAAGAAAGGAGCAACTCCCGCTCGGTGGAGGAGGTGGCCGCGGGGAGGGGAATGATCGGGCTGTTATGAGAGCGGTCTCGCGCTAAGCTTCCGAGCTGTATACACACCGCCGCCCGTACACGGCCACGTAATATACGGCAGGGGAGGGAGGACATGCCGGAGGTTCAGCGCACCGAGTCCCCGAGGTCGGCCGGCGAGTATCGGCTACTCGACTTTGTCCGCGGCTGTAACGACCCTCCCGGCCCCGCTGCCCGTGCCAGGCCCCGCAGCTCCACCGGCATGGCTCCCGCGAGCGCCTCCTCCTCCTCCCTCCTGGAACAGGGGGGATCGCTACCGCGCCGCGGCAATAACAACAACAGCAACCCCAGCGCCGAGCGCAGCGTCTCCTTCAATCGGGACGTCCACGTCAAGAGGATCGGTGAGTCGCACGTTCTCTCTCTCTCTCTCTCTCTCTCTCTCTCTCTCCTCTGTGCATAATAATAATAATAATAATAATACTCACCTACTACGCTCCACTTATAAATAATAATATTATACTCTGCTATACTGCTGCTGTGATGCTGGTATCTATACTATATATAATACATGCGTGTGAATTACCCCGCACACACTCACTCACACAATAAATATCACGTATAGGTGTAAAACGCATGGGGTGTACCTATATGTATGCGCATATTTATAAAACATATATACCTGAAGTGTGTACTGTAAGCGTCGCGGGCGCGAGAGACACAGCGTCGTCGTCGTCGTGCTCTGGCTAACGAACAGCAGCTTCCTATACATATATGTAATGTGTACCCCCATACGTGCCATATACGCACAACTACCGCGTACCGAACAATGACTTTTCCCTAGTGTAGCGCTGCACCTGTCCCCGTATATCGCAATACCTCCCGTCGTTCTCCTATTTTATTTTATTTTCCAATTTTACAAGAGAGAAAGGGTTGGAGCAGTCACCGCAGCCGCCTCAATTTACCCGGTATGCCGGCTATACTGTATATATACACGCGCGGCCATTATCCGACTGCAAAGAAGATTGGCTTTTTGTCGCGAGTCGCCGCTTCTCGAATTTCATTTGAATTTTCAGCGAACCCCCCCCCCCTCCCCAACCCGGGAGCGTCGTTACTTCGGATACAGGCGTGACGAGCTCTCTGGGGTCTTTCTTCGACGCCTTACAGACGACGGGCTTTTCGAGTTTAGCGACGCCACCCTGACTTATTTCCACCCTCGGCGAGACCGAATAGCTCGCGCTATACGGTGGTACATCCATCCGTGTGACGTGCACCGCGGTGAAAGTGCTCGTGACGTAAGGGGAAAAAACGCGGCCCGCGGGCGGTGCACTCACAAGGGGGGGGGGGGGAAGAAGAAGAATAAGGGTTTAGATACTCCCTCGGCTACTTGTACGCGTATATGTACACGGAGTCGGCTCGTCTGCCCGTCGAACGCAAGCTGATCGGAGCAAGGAGGAAAAAGCCGTGCGGCGTGTGTGCCCCCTCCCCCCCTCCCTCCACTCGATTCTCCTGTCCGTCAGTTCCGCGCCGGTCGTCCGCCTTCCCTTTGGCGATCGCATTCCTCTTTATCCGCTGTGAGAGAGCACCGCGGCGGCGTGTGTGTATACATCCAATATATATGTATTTTATTTGTGGTAAAAATCACCGGGAAAAAACTGCACTTTTGAAGAAAATGAGACACTGGGAAGTGACCGATGATCACCGTAATTGTTCACTCCTCTCGTTCGACCCGGTCGTCAAACATTTGGAGCGGGGATATTATATACCCGGTCGACAAACATATGGACATATGTTTGACGACTGGGTCGAACGAGAGGAGTGAACAATTACGGTGATCATCGGTCACTTCCCAGTGTCTCATTTTCTTCAAAAGTGCAGTTTTTTCCCGGTGATTTTTACCACAAATAACCCGGTAACGTTTACGGTTGGAGGATACGTGAAACGCCGGCTGTTGACACTCGTTCAAGTGTTATTATTCTCGTAATCTAAAAATGACCGCCATCAACGAGACCCCCCACATCTGAACGCGCGTGTATGTAATAGTACTACCGGGGGAGAGCACGACGGCGACGACTATGGCGTTCCCGGGCGCAATTACCCGCGGAGATCCGTCCGACTCCGTCTAACTCATTCTGCTTAATAACTTCTGTCGCGCGCGTCCCCGTGGATTAGACGGTGATACGCGCCCGCCTGGGGCATCAGCTGCCCGTCTACCCACCTCTTTTTCCTTTTTTTTTTTTTTTTTTTTTCTCTCCTTGGCAAATTCCCCACCTCTTTCGCTCCTCCGTTAATTAAAGACCCACACACGCACAATACGGGCGGCTTTCGTTTTAACACCGCAAATTAAATCAATTAGATTCTCATGACGATATGGTGTTACTCGCGTAAAGCGCGTCGCTCATTCGGCTCTCATCGTGATGCTGATGGTTTTCTCTCGTCGAGCACTCGCTGTTATTACTATTATACCGATTAACCAACGGTACACAACGAAACAACGACGCGAACTAGGAACTCGCCTTTTTTTTCATTATTGTTATTATTGCCATTACAGTACATTTAATAATTCCATACAACAATAATCCGAATTTTCAATTGGAAATTTAATTCAACTAAATAATGTGTACTCATTGACTAGCATTTATACCTTAACGATTAACCCTTTTTTAAAGACTTACAATGATGATTATATAACTATAATAATAATATTAATCGCTACATGCTTACCATCATATTATTACAACTGAGGTATGATTATCCAGTTTTAACGATTATTTAACAATTGAATCATTACTAATTTTACTGATAACAACGCAACCAAATAAACAATATAATAATAACAATAATAAATATAATAATAATAAAAATGATTATGATGATGATAATATATTTCATTGTGTCACATGAAAAAAAAGTACTGCAATTGTTGTTCAAAAAGAAAAACTGAATAAAAAATGTGCCCTACCTAAGCATTTACGGCTCGTAAACACGAGCTGTGCAGGAAAAGAGAAACTCCGGGGATGTAATTTGCGAGGGATTTTATTCAATTACGTAAAGGATGAGCTGAAATCGCATTTTTTTTTTTTTTTTTCTTTCGAAGCGGCGGACGGGATTGAGCGTATACCATTATGTTTTAGCTGTGAGAAAGTTCCATTTAGAGCCGAACGAGGCTTTACCTACTTGTGCCGTAGGGAAGAGACGAAGGTATGCGGAGTGACTGAGTTTCAAACGTTATATACATCGAGTGCAAGAAAACTTTGGATACAGTGGAGGGAGTCGCGTATTTTTACCTTTTTTTTAAAACATTTTAATATCACCTTGATGATTCATGCGAAAACAGCTAATTTTCCAATCAAACAATCATGTCGCCCCATGAGCCCGAGAAACGCCAGGTATTGCAAAATTCTCCAGCACGTATCGTCATCGGGACGAGTGGAAAAACACGCGGCTGTACGAATATTCTATTACACCCACACGGAAAGCAAAAACGACCATCTGCCGGCATAAGAGGCACTCGAGTGGTTTTCGCCTGTTGCAAAAGACGCGGCTAGATGAAGAGGGAAAAAAAAAAAAAAAAAAAAAAAAAAGGAGACACGTTCGCGTGGTGCAGGCGGCTCCTCCACGTGACTTGAAACCGCTCGCTTGCTTATACATTGAGACACGCGCGCTCTCGTAAACCCCGCACACAACAGTAGCACATCCATCCACATAATACATCCAGAGTAAGTCCACAACTATATACAAAGTTAAAGTACACACGTAACCATTATAATATGCCCACTGCAATGTATTCATATGTACACATACTTACCAGCATCGTATAGCAGAGGTGGAGGTTACAAGAGCAGGGAGGAGGAGAGACAGAGAGCACAACTAGAAAATTAAAAAAAAATGAGAGAGAGAGAGATGCGCTCATCCTCCTCGCCATACGTGTACACGTATAAGATTACTCGTACACTCGGAGCAGGGGGGAGGCGTCTTGGCGAGCTGCTCCCGACTAATTATCAATTGCGTCACTGGTCTTCGTCGCGCGCACATAATAGCTGCACACAGGGTGCACCGTCCACATATAATAATGTACCCGATGGCACATGTACCAACACACACGTGCGCACGGCAAATTCCTGTGTCGTGTCGTGCTCTGCTGCTGCCCCCCCCCCCCCCTTACCCCTGTGGCACGGTAAGTACGTATATATTATATACACACGAGTATGTGTGTTGCAGCACCGAGCAGTGGTTTAATTTGCCTCCGCTGCTCGGCTTATTATGCAGCAAAGAGTGCCCGTGGCTAGTCACAGATATGCACTCTCGTAAAGGCGTCCAGGTTATACTTGTAATATACTTAACCCGAGGCAGCTCTCGTGATTTGCAAATTGATAATTCCGTGTTACGTGCGCCCCAGCACTTGCGTGCGACTGATCGCCAGTTACACGTCCCCGGCTTGGAGCTTCTTTACTTTCTTTTTGCGTGCCATTATTTGGACCTCCTAAATCTGAATTTTCACGTACAGAGGAGTTATCACTTTTGTTGGTTAATCAACAAATGTTGGATGGAAAGATAAAATTTTGTAAAATCTGTACACCCCCTCCCCTATATTTTTCATTTGGCGCAGATTCCGAGAGTTTCGCATGAAAACCACAAGTACGCAAATACCTTCTCGACAAGAGCCCCCCATAGACTGAGAGAATATGCATCGCGAAAGTCGATAACACCCCTATCGATGGTCCAGAAGATGAGCAAACAGTCACGTACGAGACGCGCTTTGATCTTCCGCGTGTATGCCGTGTCCGGTGTACGGAGCTCTCGGGAGCTGTGGTTTTCTTCGACAAATACTTGCAAAGTACGTCAAAAGGAAAACAAATACATGTATGCATACTCCGAGAGGAGAGGGATGCATTATTGGCGAAAACAATCGGCAAATAGCCGACTTTTCGAGGGGACAAGATGAAAGAAGTACCCGCCCGAACGAAAGTAGGTATGGATGTACGATGATCGGGGAGAAAAAAGACAAATCCGTTTGACACGAGTGGATAAACAAACAAGCTTGACTCGATGCAAAAATCTTCCACCACTGCTTTAGACTCGCCGAACAATGCGCGATCCGGTATGCTCGTGAACGCACTAAAAGGGGGGGGGGGCTGAAAAAGTTTGTTATTGCCGGTCATTAAGCAAAACAGCCATAAGGAAGTTGTTAATGAAAGCGAGGAGAGGCGCACAAGAACTTTTTTTTTTTTTTATGATGTTTTATTAGCTTTTTCTGATATACATAGGCATTCAATACAGCTAAAGCCACAAGGGCTAGAAATGAAAAAAAAAAAAACGATTAAAGATTATCGCTTTACAAACATATAAAACTAATCATATTTATCAAACAAATATTTGGTTTTTTTTTAAGAAAATCGTAAAT